GACTCTGGTAGATCAGTGTTTGCGATTGAAGAATATGAGTTCTTCAAACGCCGTCTTAGAGGTTTTTGTCCTTCTCTATTAGTTGCTTCTAGGAGGTAATTTATGATGTTTTAAAAACTTATATACAATATATATTTAGTTTTCTAGAAGTCTTCCTAGGTATGCATGGCACATCATATGCAATGTGTAAATTGAGGAGTGGTATGAAAAATCTATTTATTAATGATACATTAAAAGACAATTGAATGCATCCACTTGCAATGAGAAAGATGTGTCACATGTCAATGTGATAATGATTGTGACACTGACAGTGTCAGTGCAGCAGATAGTGATAGTGATAGTGTCAATGACAGAGACAGTGTCAGTGTCAAAGATGACAAAGTTACAGTGTCAGTCTTTCAAATTTCATAATTACTAGTATTATCAATTTATTATCTATAGGTAATACAATTTTGTTAAAAAAAAGCGAGAGGGGGGGGGGGGGGGGGGAGATGGATAATATCAGTGTAAGAATTATTAGTGGCTGGAATTTTTAGTAGGATGGCCTAAAAATACCATATTCAGCACTTGTGGATGTAAGATTTACTAACGGAATATTGTTCCTCACCATGAAATGATAATGATTGTGTATTCTTAACTCTTTCTTGATTTTTTTATACATCCATTTATGCACACCTTCCAAACCAGTTCTTGGGCAGTTGTGACAGTGTTCTAGAAAAGTTTCTAGACCCATACAACCTTCCGTTTTATCTAAATAAAAGTAGCAGATGGGACACTGGAGATAATATATGTTCATTCTTTCAAAAGTTTCAGCCATATCGGAAGCAAGATCTTGAAGAAACATCTGGCATTGCTCTTGAAGCACATGAGGCAATCCATCTTTAGTAGCAACATCTAGAACATTATCTGGAAGAGGGATCTCTTGTTCAGTCACACTTGGGGCTACAAAAGAAAAAACCTCACAATGATTGTTGTGTGGAGGGAAGGGTGGAATGTTGGTAGAAGTTGAAGACGAAGGTGGAGACTCATATGAAATGCATAGGGGCTAAGTGTGAGTAGCAATAGCATTTTCCCTAGCCATTCCTACACTCTAAACAAACTGAAATTTCAATGTTGAAAGCATCCCTTGTCGGTATTTATACTAAGAAAAGATCTAGGGGTTCTTTAAAGTTTAAATTGTCAGTCTTAAAAATAGGACTTCAGAATTATAACAGTTTCAGAACCACTTATATATATAATAATATCTTTATACATGCTAGAATAATATTATTCTTGAAAATATAAGATTCTCCACTTTACTCATAAAGAATTAAACTTTTGAAAAAACTATGCATGACTTTCACATTACATTAAAGGGTGGCTTAAATATCCCATATTCAGCACTTACTGATGAAGTAGTGTCGCGCATGTGACTTCGGGTATCGAAAGTTACCTGTCGACCAGTCCTTACGGACACTCTTACCTTACTGCCACGATGGCAGGAGGTCGGTATTGCTGGGCCCGTTATTAGTCTCCGCCTAAGCTAGTTGAGAAACTGGTCTTCACGTGTGCACTTGACCAGATGGGCATAAGGACGGAATTCCTACGTGCTATTTGTCAAGCATACTTGACTTGGTTAGAGAAACTCATTCGTTGACTTGCACTTGCTAGTGTTGGGAACCCCCATGATATTGAGACTAGTCCCTCAATATTCGCTAAATGATAGCTTACCGTGTCTGCCAAACACCCTCGCTATCATACCCTTTGTGTTGGTCTCATTTCGATCCCAAATGCTATTTATGGAAAGTGTCTAGATTAGCTCATTTGACATATCTACAGAATGTAGAGATCGACCTGAACACAATGGTGTTCGTCCTGTGTCCAAATTCGCAATCTAAGGACATTCCATATTTAGTAAGTTTCGGACTTGTCCCAGAGACTAACTCCTGGTACTAAGGGAGGCTTGGGGTGAAAGCCCAAAGCGTGTGTCCCTCAAGGGGGGGGGGGGGCGCTGTGGGGGGTTCCAAATGTATAGTAGGGATAGTGTGTAGGTCGGGCATGGCCGACCAACCTGAGGCATAGTCTAGCTCCCGCTTGCGTGCCTGTCCTTGTTCTGCGTCCGGCTTGGGTCTAAGCCTAAGTTCCATTCCATGCTAGTTGGTGGAGTACCCATGTCCTCACGTTAGGCCACCAGTATGCCGAAATAGCGCCAGACTCTGTTTGGCTCCGTTTTGTGTGCTGGTCCTGGCTTTGGGATGCTAGTTGCTCCAGGACTGTTCCAAGTCGCGCCGGGCTCCTGTCCCTTCGCTCCTTGGGCTTTATGCTCGGGAGTTGTTCCGTGGTTCGGTTCCATCACTCCTTGGCTTCGTGCTTGGGAGTTTGGCACCGTTCCTTCGTTCAGTGGCCCAACGCCCTGAACTTCGGGTTCCTATGGACACGTGGCATGGACACGTGGCATGTGACACGTGGCATCTGTCACATGGCACAAAGAGGGTTTAGGTTCCGCTTCATGGTGTTATCCTATGGTAAATCACCATAGGATAAAGGGTTAAACCACGTGCGCTACAATTCACCAATGAAATATTATTCTCCACCATAAAATCATAATAGCTATGTGTTTTTAATTCTTTCTTGATTTTTTTATACATCCACGCATGCACACCTTCCAAACCCGCTCTTGGGCATTTGTGACAATGCTCAATAAAATTTACCAAACCCATGCAACCATCTGTCTTGTTTAAATAAAAGTTGCATATAGGACACTGAAGATAATATGTATCTACATTAAACTCCCCTGCCATATTTGGAGCAAGATCTTGAAGAAAATATTGACATCGCTCTTGAAGCATTAGAGGCAATCTAACTCTTTTAATAACATCATAAGGAAGGAGTTCTTGTTCAGTTGCATTTGAAGTCGCAAATGGAAGAGTCTCACAACAACCCTCAAAATGAAAAGGAGGATTATTGCGTAGAAGTAAAGGTGGATTATTAGTTGAGATTGGAGATGGAGGTGGAAACTCATATGAGAGGCCTCCGGGACCAAAAGTAAACTTCTCCTTAACCATTGCAACACACAAGAAGAATTAAATTTCTCAACAATAAGAATTCTCTGATTAATATACTATATTTTAATCTTGGGAATGATGTTTTATTATGACATGACACTATATTGAATGATAATTGTCAGTTTTAGTAATTACAACCTACTATGAGAGACAAGTGGCTATAGGGATTTAGAAGCTAGAAACTAGCATATAATTAATATGTAGCCTTATTTTATATAGCTGGCCTGCCATATATAATAATGGCAAATACACACAGGCATGCGAGTATGCCTTTTTGCAAGATTACCTTTCAATCCCAAATTCATATATAGATTTAATTCTTTGATTTGTCCACATTATATATCTTTGCAAAGACAAAACATATTAAAAGGAATAAGATATATATAAAAAACTTACTTTTTTTATAATATTTTAGTGGATTACAAAAGCCATTGAAAAGTTTATAAAGTGGATTTATTAGTGCTTTCCGCTGTGCTGTCCATTTCTTCTTTTTTCTTGCTCTGCATTTTTATCAATAGTGACAGTGGTTTTGATATTCCCGGACAGGTAATAAGGACCAAGTGTGTAATATGGAGATTGTGGTAGTGAAACAAAATTAACATTCTCACATTTCTGTATGCTAAAATTACTTACAGATTTTTTATCTTTGTTACTTCCCATCTTTGTAAACTCTAAAGAATGAACGAGTGAATCAGTGTTTCGAATTATTTATATATTTCTGGTCAATTGTTGAAATGTTAAAATGTTGAAGTGTACAATAGAAATTTTAGGTTCATTCAAACTTCAATATTCCCATTTTATTTAGGACCAATAAAGCCCAAAAATTTCTATGGGTTCAAACGAACTTCTAATTCTAGAAATTGTATAAATTGCATTAAAAAAATTCAAAAAATAGAAATCTCTTTGAACCATTGATACTTAAATTCATAAATTTCAAGTTCACCAAAGGATACAATTTTTCTAACTTAATATTTCCTTATAAAATTTATGGTTGACTATGTTGACTAGCATTGACTTGAGTTGAATTGAGCTCAACTCATGAACTCAACTCAACTTTGGACCATCCCCAAGCTGATGTATTTCTAAATCCCAGCATGCTGCAAGGCGTAAAATAATCCTAATAGAAGACATCTTGGCCACAGGAGAGAATGTCTTGATGGCACGTCACAAAGTGGCATCCAATTTCACTTGAAAATCCACTTTGTGCTGGCAATCTTCCTGCCTGGTGGGAGATGAACAAGCTCCCAGACTTCATTGCATTGCAAAGAATTATACTCGTTCTGCATGGCCGCTTTCCATTTTTCTGCTTCTGGTGACTGGAGAGCTGCACGAACTGTGCATGGTTCAGGAGTGAGCTGCTCAGCAATTTGAGGCCGGAATCTGAGGCCATCATCAAATGGTGTAACCGCTTCTTCTGCATGACTGGACTTGGTAGTGCCTCTGCTGCAACCTGCTGCTGCGGCTGAACTCGCGGCTGCTGCTGACTGTGCGCTTGCGGCTGCTGCCCGGATACCCTAGAAACGTCCTCCTCGTCATAAAGTGTTGCGTGTACTTTGCAAGCCGGGAGGAACGAAGCCCAGGAGATGGGAAGAATGTGAGCTCCTCGGCGTCCTAGAACATCCACAATGCTGCTGTAGTAGTCGATCCTTGACGGGTCTCACGCTATGATCTGGACGCAAACACTCGATAGAATCGCTCACTCGGCCTCCGTCCGCGCAAGTGCTTAGCACCGCCACGAACGATGCCTCGTTGGGTGTGTGGCCCTCGAGGAGCATCTCTAGCATCGCATCGATGCTCTCGGCGCCGCATATCGCGTTCATTGCCAGTAGCGCCAAGAAAGCAGGATGATTCTTCCTCCTCCTCCGCTGCACTCCACAGCACGGCAGGATTCATGTGCCAGGCTCTCGGCAGTAAGCTCTATCGGATGGGGCGGCAAGAAATCAGTGAGCGTCTTCGATGCACACACGAACCGATGGAGCGCTGCGGCGCCAACGCTATGTCCTCGAGCGGCTATGGATCCAGGGTGTCCTCGACCGGTCGGCTCACGTCGTTCGTGACAACTTTGAGGTGGGTGGCAGCTTAGAGGGGAACGGATTGGACGGTGAGGTAGGACCGATGGTATCCTCTCCCGCCATCGCCAGTGATGGAGACCATGGTCTTCCGCAACGCCCTCGTCGTGGATCGTAACAAGATGGTTGTGAGATGGTTCCAGAACGACGCTTGTTTTCTCAGCGAAAGATCATTCCTGGGAAGTGGCGAACACGACTGGATTGCCCGGACGCTGCTGCTTTGTGCACTCCAACCGGATCTATCACAAGATTTTCTTCCGCACTCTGAGCTAACATTTGGGCAGTTTCAGAGGATTGCAAGGTTATGACAGTGATTCAAGTTCCCAGCGATGGCTGCTTGGAAGGTGGTGGAGGATTTCAAGCTCAGCATGCCTTTCAGGAACGATGCTCAGATCGAGGTTCTTCGAGCTTGATGTATATTATCTGGATCAGCCACTACTCGACAAGGGCGTGTTAAAGCGTCAACAACACAGCATCTTGACTCATAGTCGCGTTCTCCCTCCAGGAATGCAAGAGGGAACAGAGTTCTCTGTGTGTGGGGGGGGAGAGAGAGAGAGAGAGAGAGTAGAATGCTGCTATACTGCTTCCTCGCCTTTCAAAAAATTTCCCCCCATTCATCTCTGGTGGGGTGCGACATCTTGTACGAAGCCAACGGCTTAGTTAAGGAATAACTCTTGGTCCATGTCTTCCTGGTTCTTTCCTTTTGATGGATTGAATGTAGCATACCTTCATTTCTTTTGATAACAGCTTGACCACTACCCGATCAACATTATTTAGTCACCTTGAACCAGTGAAATTGACGTGTTCTCCATTGTCTCAGTAAAATGACCAAGTCAGATCTGGAGTGCTCATAACTCCTATATAAACTCCAGCGACCTCCACACTTCTCCTCACTCCATTCTTCATCAATCAAGTAGCATCACAACAAAAAATCTGTGTGAAGATACAACATGTCTTACAAGTTAGCCATTTGTCTAGTTGCCATTTGTGCCATTGCTTTCGTCCATGGTTCAGATGAAGATGCCCTCCAGGATTTCTGTGTCCGCGACGGAAACAGCAACACCATCGTCAATGGATTCACTTGCAAGCCTGCTGCGGCAACTCTGGCCAGTGATTTCATGTTCCAGGGACTCCGGAACCCCGGGAACACCAACAACAAGCTCGGATCCATAGTCACCAATGCAAATGTTGGCGTATTCCCGGGAATCAACACTCTTGGAGTCTCTTTTGCGAGGATTGATTATGCTCCATACGGTGTCAATCCCCCTCACGTCCACCCCCGAGGAACCGAGCTCCTCTTCCTCCAGCAAGGAACACTCTATGTTGGATTCGTGAGCACCACCAACAACACACTCTTCGCTCAAACTTTGCATCCAGGAGATCTCTTTGTGTTTCCGCGTGGTCTCATTCACTTCCAGCTCAACGTTGGGAAGACACCGGCTGTTGCTCTTGCAGGATTCAACTCCCAGAATCCTGGTGTCACTCAGGTAGCCAAAGCCGTGTTTGCATCCAATCCTCCCATTTATGACGCTGTCATCGAGAGGGCATTCCAGATCAATCCCAAGCTCATCCAGCAGCTCAGGGACCTCATCAAGCAAACTTAATCAATTTTCTTTTGCAATGATTCTTCTGTAATTTTCAAGAATAAATAAAGAACTTTACCTTTCAACTGTTTTATTTTAAATATTTAAAATAACAATTAAATAATTTAAACCTGCTGCTGAAATACACTGTCTGCTGAAACGGGAAACTTAAATTTTAGGGCTCCTGTACTGCTAGGGCTAGGGGCTCCATGACAATGCCGGGGGATCCCAGCGCCATGGCAGCGATCTTACCTCAGCCAGCAAAATCCCCAGGTGTAATATCACGACATTATATTAGCATTAAAGAATTTCTCACCTAAATTATTATTACTTTTTGTATTAGTTTTGAATATTTTAATTTGAGAATTGGTTTCTATGGTTCTTTCATTTTTGGTATGGTTTGAGACCACGACCCGATCAAATTGAAACAATCCACACTATGGTTTTGATCAAGTCAGTGAAATTAACGTGTTATCCTTCTTTGTCCCCTTCAATTTTTATTCTTGACCAAGTCAGATCTAGAGTGCTTGAGAATGCCAGTCGAACTACTATATAAACTCAACCAAACTCCACATTTCTTCTCATTCCATTCTTAGTCAATCAAGTAGCATTACAACAACATATCAAAAGCTTTGATCAATCAGCTGAACTCTTACTGCCATGATACAAGATGTCTTACAAGTTAGCCATTTGTCTAGTTGCCATTTGGGCCATTGCTTTCGTCCATGGTTCAGATGAAGATGCCCTCCAGGATTTCTGTGTCCGCGACAGAGACAGCAACACTATCGTCAATGGATTCACTTGCAAGCCTGCTGCGGCAACTCTGGCCAGTGATTTCATGTTCCAGGGACTCCGGAACCCCGGGAACACCAACAACAAGCTCGGATCCATAGTCACCAATGCAAATGTTGGCGTATTCCCGGGAATCAACACTCTTGGAGTCTCTTTTGCGAGGATTGATTATGCTCCATACGGTGTCAATCCCCCTCACGTCCACCCCTGGAAACCCCCCTAACACATGCACGCCCAGGAGCAGCTCCACTCACGACTGAAAGCCAGGTTCAAACGGCTACTAGTTTATTTCTATTCTAGGCATATGCTGGCGGTTAGAACCGCCAACAGGAGAGTGGTTTTGAGAGACCCTAGCGTAGCTAGGGTTCCCCATCTCCTTTCCCATTCCATTGTACTTCAAGACTCCTGAATCGCATCCCCTATTTGCATTATCTTTGACTTGAGTCTCTCTCCCCGCCGATCCACCACTTCTTTCACCCCTCCTCAGCTGGCGACCTCTGGAGATCAGGCGCCAGTTCTTAGATCGAGTTCTAGCGGTAGCAGCATTCTCATCCATCTCACATTTTCCCAGTGAACATTTGGCGACCACGGTGGGATGGATCGCTGAGAGAGATCAAGGAACGAGAACCCGGTAACCATTTGCATTTTTCGAAATTTTCTTGTTTGCAGAGATTCAAGAACTTCAAGAACCACTCTTTCTCTCCACATCGAGTATGCCACCACCAACATGGGTACCCGGAACACGCCTTGCTGCAGCGACCACTAGAGGAAGAAAACTACACCAGCAAATTTTCGAAGAAATTAAAGATCTTTCAACGAGACCTCCTAGCGCTCTATCCGAACGAGGAGAAGAAGACCTTTGCGATCAACCCCAACATCAGCACCGAACTCTTCACCGGCCAGCACCGAGGAACCGACAGCAAGCCCGAGCATCTCCTCCGAGATCTTCTCCGACCAGCAATCTGAGAGCCCAACTCCGAATTCGAGCAGAAGAACACCGGCTGCAAGCCAGAGAACTCGCCGGCAGAGCCTCCGAACTCTTCTCCGACAACAACTCTGCTTTACCGACCAGACAACAGAACAGCAAGAATTCCGGCAACAGATCTTCCCAACCAACGCTTCTTCCACACATCAGCCGCACGTTTTCCTACGACGAGCCTCCGACACTCTATCCCGGCATCGCCCAAGTCACCGAAGGAAAGCTCCCGAATGCACCAACAATCTTCCGACAGACTCTCCGACTGAGCGCCCAAACCAGCACCGAAGACATCATCCGACGACGACACGACGCTAATCTCCACGCTGCCAAGACTCTGTTCGACCACGCCATCGAGTACGCCGGCCTAGAGACCATTGACGACGAAATTGGGTCTGATCACCCCAACCAGTCCGACTATCCGAAACTCTTCGTCGAGCTTCATCTCGGCACCGGCACCTGGAAGACCAGCCTGCACTCAGCACCTCGTCACGACAAATCGATTGGAAACTCCACCAACAAGCCCAAGTCGAAGAAAGAAACGAAGAAGAAACTCCTGGAGTACGACTGCTACCCACTTCTGGACGAGTTTTCCTCTGAGTGCCCGAACACCAGCCCGGACAACATCCAGACAACTTCTTCGACCGACCTGCATGACAGCTCTCCAATCACTGCTACACCGAATCAGTCAACTCCCCGACGAGCTCCAAGAAATCATCCGGCAGAAGACTTGCGACCTTCTTCCGGCAACACACTTTGTTCAATTGACTGATGGCATCCTCCTACTAGCATAGTAACCCTTAGAAGATTCTACAATAGCTACTGCTGAAGACTAGCTTCGAAGCTGCAGGCCCGAAGATATTTCCGGAGCCTTGAGATTATCGTCGACACCGATTCGACATTCAGCCAGATACCCGACAACATCACCGACAACCAAGTTAAGAGTTTGATGAAGACCTTCATCCCCGAGATACCAACATCCAAGATAATTTTAGTGTACAAGAACCCACGGCCGTAGAGAGCCGCATGAACAAACCGAGGAAAGCAGCCAGCAAACAACAAGAAGACACCGAAAGACTTCAACGATACCTCCAGCGAGAGTTGAAGAGACTAGAGAAAGAGAGAAAAGAAAAAGCCACCCAGTGGTCCCACTTTGTACAAGTTTCTGAAAGAGAAAGGTACATTACTGATGAATTGTTTCCCAAAATTGCAGCCGGCGAAGATGCCGGAAGGATTTTAGAAGGCTACCAGAATTTTAGGACACCACCTGCTTCTCCGACTGCAGCACCGGAGAACCCGCCAGAAACCCAGCCAGAAGTTCAGCACACTCCTCAGCACAGCTTCCACAACCCACTCTTCCGAGGACAGACCGACCCAAGAACATATTTCTCCTGGACTGTACCGACAGCTTCACCAGCAGTCCTCGGCACACTGTTTTCGACACCAGTATCAGCTTCTACCTTGACCACACCGTTCGCCTCCGCACCGGAATTCTACAATTTCCAGCAACAACCAGACTCCCCAAAGCTCAACTCAGTCGAATACGGCCTCCAACCTATATACATTGTCAACCCAGACGATCGACCAGCACATCCCCAGCAATACGAGTTCGGCCAATCCTCCGAATACACACTCAACCAACTTTTTGACCAGGTGTTCAGCAGACCCCACCAACAACCAGAACCAGACATCGATCTTCAGCAACCAGACTTACAGGTAATACTCCGACAATCCTCTCCGGAGACCTTGCTGCAGCCTGCCGAAGAACCTCTGCTACCATCAACATCAACACTGCCACCACAAAACACTCCACCAACTGCTCCGTCAAACGTCCCGCCAAACGCTCCACCGAACACTCTGCCACACAGTCTACCAGACATTCCCCCAGACATCATCACCATGACAATGGTACTCCCCAACACGGTCATCGGCAAGCTTGTCACCTACCCACAATTCAAAGGGAAGAAGACCGAAGATCCAGAAAAGCACGTTATTCGCTTCAAGGAGGCCGCCCGAGTCAATGGCCAGCAAGACAACTTCGCATTCCTCTTTGGCTGCACCCTCAAAGGATGCGCCGGAGAATGGCTCCAGACGACCGACTCGAAACTCACCTTCGACGAGCTTACCAAAGCCTTCACCGACCACTTCAAGTCAGCACTCAGCCAATCAGAGAAGCTTCAGAAGATACAGAACATCAAGATGCGTACTGGTGAAACTCTTGAAGAATACACCGAACGCTTCACCAAACACGCCAACCGCTGCAAGAGCTCTTCTACTGACATACTTTTATACCAATGGTACATGCAGGGACTAGCTTCACACTTGAAGAAAGCTGCCACCAAAATCGACACCAGCGATTACAAGACTCTTTCCAAAGACTTGAAAGAAGTTCAAATCCGCCGACAAACTGCCCGAGTTGATGAACCGGAAGACTTCGACTCCGAGGAAGATGAGGATGACCTCCTCGACAGCCTCACTGGCAAGTCAAAGGACAAAGTCGGCATCCGAAAGATCCAGAAGCTCCTCACCAAATTCACTGCATCCAGCGACAAATCCGATGTCCGAACCGGCGTCTGGTGCACAAAATGCAAGAATGAAGGACACTCAGCCACCGACTGCAAACTCCAGCTCGTTAAGTGTCAAATCTGCGGGAAAGACAACCATGACGCCAAGACATGCAGATTCCGTAGCCAACCTGAAGTCCGACAAATCTCCAACTTCCCCCGGAGACCTCCCCGACAGCCTGAGTATTCGACCCAATATCCGGCCGCACCTCCAAACAACTGGCGACCGCCCCGGAACAACTACCTGCCGCGACAATGGAACGCACCACCGAGATTCAACAACAACTACAACAACCGACCCTACTACAATGACCGATACCAACAACCCGACAACCGGCCATACCAACAATACCGACAAAACCAGATGGACTACAACAACAGCCAAGCCTATCCACGCTACCAGAATCAAGGGTATCAAGGCTACAACCGATATCAAGGCTATCAAGACCGGAGATATCAAGGCAACTACAACAGCCGCCCATGGCAACCCCGAATCCCAGACCAGCCCGGCCCTCCAAGACTCGGACCGCCGCCGCCTAGACAGCCAGACCAACAGCAACAGCAACCACCGGCAACCAGACTCATCGAAGCCGACGAACTCCCATTTCCCGAAGAAGACCCAGAACCACAAGTTCTGGCAGTCCAGACTCGAGCACAACTTCGAGCACAGCACCAACAACAACCGGATA